AATGTTTCATTCTATCTGTAACTTCTCCTATCTCATATTCTCTCTTATCTCCCTTCTGCCTCCTAGACTAAAGAGATGAGCAAGAAGGGTTGTAATTCCGGTGCTTTTGTTGATTTTCTTTCCTTTTTTCCCCACTTGCGACCCATCTCTTATGCCTCTTCCCTATTTGAGTTGGATTACGAATCATCTCAAACCCTGTTAATTGCCTTCATCTAGAGGTTGGCTAAAGGACGGGGTCGTTAAGCGAATTCAGAAAGATTATCCAGACTGTTTGAAGGATTTTATAATATTATTCATGACGGGATTGAGTAATCTGCGCAGCCCAATTTATCACAAAACATAATTGTTCAATAATGATGTTCGCAAAAAATCTGGCAACAGTTAAATCGCAAAGCAATTTCATTTCAAGATCGGCATGATTCCATTAAATCACTGCAGTTGAGTGCGACTTGCATCAATACCCTTTATGATACAGAACGAATCTGATTAGGGTTCGTATGGCGCTAAAATCTCATGCCCTCAGGAACGTGACGTAGTGTATGGCCCATAAGGAGGTGTCTTTTGTGGTAAAACCACGAGGTAGCTGAAGTTTTTGAAATTCCAAAAACTTGGTTAGATTTTCCACAGCTTCATAACGGTCGCGTTCACCTACTCTGCCAGCGAAAGATCCATGCAAAGATTGCGGAAGCTACTTGCTCCCAGTGTGTGATAAGTGAAGGATCGGCGACAGCGGAGGCATCTGTCCGCTGCCGAACTCGCCCACACCAACTTGTTGATTTGTGGGCAACATTGCGGGTTGCGGGTTATGATCTTGTGTGCAGCGATGAAGCGGCTCAGCCCTTACAAATGACGTATGTGAGAAGCTTGTCAATATATCAAATTGAAGAAGGATCTTAATCAATTACTAGCGTCGGTAACGAAATACCCACCTCTTCCAGAGCTAACACAAGGCTCTTGGCTAGCCGTGCATAAAACACGTTTTCTTCCTCGTACTTCAGCGTTTGGCACACATCGACCATCTCGAAAATATAAACGAATACCGACACACCAGTGAAGAAGAAGTATCCGTAAGCGGCAACCACTGCTATCCTGCTATGGAAATTTCCGAGAAATTCAGCGATCCTGCAAAATATTTGAATCAAATAGGCACCAAACTCATCTCTATGGATCAGTGCGAATGTTGCGGCGTTCACCTAGCCGACATTTCGAAAACCCTGGAACTAACGAGCACGGCTCCCGAGATTTTCATGCAAATCCGCTCTCAAACTTCACAATAATAGAGGAATTATATGCGTTCTTTAGCGATTTTTGCAGCCTTTTTGCAAAGCAGGACTCGCTATCCCTGAAGAGAACAACATGTGATGTTTATAGACTTCTTAGTTCATGAAAGGTTGAAGATGTGGGAGAGGAGGTCTCCACCAGCGGACGTGGTAGAACGCTACTAATCTTTAGGGCACAATGTTTTTAATATCAAGCAAGCTAACACCTAAGGACCTCAACTGGTTGCTAGGTATACATAACCTCATGACTAGCAACGGTATATGCAACACTACAGTTTGACGAACTTTCCTGGGGCAAGGGCGCCCATTTGAAGAACGAGTTTCATAAAAGCGGAACTTGCATACCCCTCACTTCAATAATATTTCTTTACACACTTACGTTATATGCTCTATATTATTTGACAACTTTTAATTACGCAAACCTGGCTCAGTTGATGTGCCAGTGTATGCGGCTCTTTAATAGATAAGTAGTCTCCAGAAGTTCAAAAGTACAGTGGGTAATTACTGTGTTAGTGATTTTGATTCTTGATTAGTTTACAATATCAGATGAGTGAGCATACAAGCGATAAGAAATTGGATCGTTTCATCAGCCGAGAGGAGGACTAGGTTGGCAGCTGTAACCCCCAGGATCACAACAGGTCGTATGGTTCGGAAATGGAATTACAGAACTTTGACGACAAATTTGTTCAAATTTTGGAAGTCGACGAAAGCTATGCAGAGCATGCAAAGCAAGCAACGTCCACGAGGTGCCCATATGTATGTGCAGAGCGTTACTTTGATTTTTCGCAAATAAATTTGGTCCAAGAAAAAAGCCAAATACTGGCCTTGCTCCACCAATGAAACGAAGTGTCATTGAAAAATATGATAAAAAGAAAATCCTTCCTCGTCGGAAAGTGCCATTCATTGCAGTTCCATTCAAGTCCGTAGAGAAATTTGCACGTGATCCGGTCTCAGAGTCAGTCCTATCGTTGTTACTTTTTCAAAAAAATTTTACGACCCTCCTCCCCCAAGGTGGATTTGGTACGACCCCCTTTTCGACACCTCGACCACCATATTCCTCTCTATGGTATTTAATTCTGG